TATTACATGGTGACCATTGCTGATCATTTAATACATGGTGACCATTATGATTTATACCTAATGGTCATCCATGTATGACAACCCCCCCCCCCCGATCCTAACGCACTATATGCATACTACTTGAAGGTTCATGCAATAAATCGAGATCAAACGTTCGGAGAACGAGCAGTTGAGACGAGATGTTCAGAAAACTAAAAAGAACGGAAAACAAGAAGCCCGAACGTATTTTCGTTATTGGTGAAGCTGGAGCAGATAAATCCTTCGTTATTAATGCGCTTCGGAAACAGTTCATGTGCGAAGATGCTGACCCAGAGTGTGCAACTGTAATATCAGCAGCCTTAACAACTCTTTCTGTTTCACACATAAATGGTAGTGCCAATCACAAAGCTGTCAGTTTCTTTTCTACATCAAGTGACCCAGAAAAGCACACAAGAACGATGCCGAGGTGGAAAAATCACATATGGCGAAATAGAAACACACCATGTTTGATCTTGGATGAACGCTCTTTCATGAAAGCTGATCTCTTATGCGCAGTTCATAAAAAATCAGCTGTTCACAAAAAATTATAAAAATGAGCCGTTCAGAGGATAAGGGTTGATTCTTGACGGTGATTTGTATCAACTCTACTGTCATAGATGAGCTCCTTTTAAAACAGCCAACACCGAGAGTTTCTTAATCTTTCATTAAAACCAATCATTTTGATTTGCTTCGAATGTTCGAAGTGAAATCTCTAAAAGAGACAATCCAAAGTCAAGGAGCTTGCTGATCTTTTGATTGCAGTAAGGGTAGGAAAACTCACAGAAATGAGCAAAGCAACCCTTCACTCACATGCTGTCCCTGTTGTTGTTCAAAAACCCTATTTCACGCATCTGCTATACGATAGCTAAATTGACAGACCCATTGAAGGTATTTGGGAAAAATTGATAACCGAAATAACGGTTTCTAAGTATAATGAAGCCTATGAAACCTTCGTAGGTCTCAATCTGGTGTGCCCGACACCGTTTCTGTAAATTTTACAGAACAGCAACTTGAGTAAAGCAGCGTTCAAAAATCAACATCTGCTTATGTCAATTATATCAAGTGAGTGAAGATATATCCGGTCAGTGGATATATATAAAGTGAGTGGATATCAAGTGAGAGTTCGATCCACTTTAAAAACCGGTCCACTTCAACGGTAGTGACTCGAACACAATTTCCATGAAATTAGCATTCGCATTGACATTTTTAACAATTGAAAAGTTACTAATAACTCGGCAACATGTTGCGCTTTTAGAGGACGGCCACCTTGCCCTCAGTTGATCTACACTTAAATTAGTCGAATTAAATAATCGAAACATCTTTTTAAAATTGAAACGAAATGAAACGAAAAGTGATGAAGTTCAATGAAACTAAAAGTGTTGTCAACCAAATTGCAGAAAAAGGAATGGACCGCATGCGATCACTTAAAATGTATCTGATGCTTTCTGAGGAGATACTTTGCTCAAAAGGCTGAATATCGTTCCAGAACGGTCATTGCTTTCAAAAAAAAAATTATGCGAAACATGGATGAACAGCAGATTTTCTTATTCGGACTTCATGACAAATTCCTTTCGCAAAAGTTTATTATTGAAGAAGTAGCTCATGCAACTACGCCGCCTCATTCTGGATTTGTTCTCTGTTCTAGGAAATGTCAAAGATTCGCAATTCAAGCAAAATGTTTCTTGTAATGTTGAAAATTTGTATTTGAACTTGTCACTCCATATCGACAACAAAATGCTACTTTTTTCCCTCGTTTCAAGAGTGCCCTTTTCTACGAAATTAGAGGCGGGGATATGTCTTGGTACACAACAGCTCATGAAAAATATTGGATATTTGCTCTTCAACACGTAGCACAAGACAGCTAATAATACATTGCTCGAACTTATGTTTCCCTCTTTGGAAAAAACTTGGCAAACTTTGAAAATCTTAAACTGTTTTGAATAACCACTGATTAAATTTGTTGGCAGTGGATTGAACAAATCACGAACGGTAAACTTTACACAAATAATCATAAGCATTAGTTTTGTTTGTCTATAATTTTGTTCGTTGAATGCTAAGACTTTTATCTTGCCTTGATATAAAAGTCTATTTGATTACAAATTTCTTTAAAGATTGAAATTGTTGTCGCAAAGTTAACTGAAAATCTTACTTTCTCTTACCTACGTTTCCTGCATTTTTCTTTTAACTTATATTCTCTAAAGTCACGTTTCCTTCATTTTGTGTTTGTGAAACAATTCCATCAGCTAGTTTAAGTTAGTCATTTATGAGCGGGTTTCAGCCTTTATGAATCATAAGTATGTTACGGAATGACTGGATCAAACTTACACTATAAAAAAACTGAAAGATTGAACGAAGTTCAGTGTTTCTTAAAAGTTTTGCTGATTAATGACTGACGGAGTACACAAGAAACTGTTTTTCAAAATGCACGTTTTAAATATAACGGCACAGAAAGAGATCACAAATTCTGTTATTTTATGCGTTTTTTTAAGGAAAAAAGAGAAAAATTTTTTTTGGCCGGAATAAGGCCAAAAAAATAAGGAAAAATAAGTACAAAGACTTTCAACTTTTGTCCTATATACACATAAATCAACACATTTGTACGTTTTCCATCTGTATTTTCTGACAATCAAATATGTTGGCAAAGGATTAAACAAATTGCCAACGGTACGTTTTAAACAAGTAATCATAAGAATTAGTTTCGTTTGTGTATAACTTTATTCGTTCAATGCTAAGACTTTTGCCTTGCCATGGTAAACACATTCGATTTGATTACAAATTTCTCTAACTATTGAAACTGCTGTCGAAAGGTTAATTGAAGATCTTATTCTCTAAAATCACGTTTCCTTCATTTCCTCTTTGTGAAACAATTCCATCAGCTAGTTTAAGTTTGTCATTTATGAGCGGGTTTCAGCCTTTATGAATCATAAGTATGTTATGGAATGACTGGCTTAAACTTACATTTACAAAAAATTGAGTGATTGAACGAAGTTCAGTGTTTCTTAAAAGTTTTGCTGATTAAGACTGACCGAGTACATAAAAAACTGTTTTTCAAAAAACACGTTTTAAATGTAACGGCACAGAAAGAGATCACGAATTCTATTATTTTATCTACTTTCTTTTTTAAAGGAAAAAAGAAAAAAAAATTTTTTTGGCCGGAATAAGGAAAAATAAGTACAAAGACTTTCATATTTTGTCCTATATACACATAAATCAACACATTTGTACGTTTTCCATCTGTATTTTCTGACAATCACGCAGTTTTTGCCTCAAGAGACTAAAAATATCTTGACAGGAACTTATCCGTGCATTTTACAATGCTCAATCTTGTTTTTGCTTTTTAGAAAAACATGGCAAACTTCGAAATTCTGAATCTGTATTTAATTACCACAGATCAAATATGTTGGCAAAGGATTAAACAAATTGCCAACGGTACTTTTTAAATAAGTAATCATAAGTTTTAGTTTCGTTTGTGTATAACTTTATTCGTTGAATGCTAAGACTTTTGCCTTGCCATGGTAAACACATTCGATTTGATTACAAATTTCTCTAACTATTGAAACTGCTGTCGAAAGGTTAATTGGAGATCTTATTTTCTCTTACTTACGTTTTCTGCATTCTTTCTTTCAGCTGATCATCTCTAAATTCACGTCTACTTGGTTTCGTCTTTGTGAAATGATTCCATCGGCTAGTTTAGGTTTGTCAAATGAGTCTTGATGAATAACAAGTATGTTATGGAATGACTGGTTCAGGCTTACACTTGAAATAATTTGAAATTTTTTTCAAAAAATGAAACGTCGCAATTTTGCACACCACACTTTTTACAACTAAAAACTGGCATAAAACTTTGTATCACTAGTGACGCTAAGATCTTTGTGTAATTGAACGAAAATCAATGTTTCTTCAATTTTTTGCTGATTAATGACTGACGGAGAATACAAAAAAACTGTCTTTGATAATGCACGTTTTAATTGTAACAATCTATGTATGCTGATGGCCAAATAACAAGTGATCACGAAGTCCAATTTTATGCACTTTTTGTAACTTTTCCTCTCACCATTTTATGCTCGATACCCTTTTCTTTTTGAGTAAATGAACCCTGTTATGCTCGATACCCTTTTCTTTTTGAGTAAATGGACCCTGTTATATAGTTTTCACATAGCGAGAATTCATAGTGACTTCAAAGAAAAAACAATCCTTTTGATTCAGCCCATGTAAATTATCGTTGGATAGTTAGTTGTAACCTTTATATTAGTCTTTTTCAAATCAGATTACAATTTTTGTCCACTTAGCCCCCTTTTGTTCCAAATGATAGGATAATTCAGTTAGATTCAATTATTATCCTACCTGTTGAACATCCTAACTACATATTTTCAAATGATCGAAATTATTTCAGATTCAGTGCACTTTTTTGTCCACTGCAGGTAGGGTAAGGTGATAAGGGGACTTGGAGCAGGATGAAAAAACTTTCTGACTATTATTTAATGATCTACTAGCTATGTTTTATCATCGTGCTCATTAAATAATAGTAAAAAAATTATATATTAACCTCTTTATTTCCTCATAATAGGCATACTATGCATGGATTGTTAATCTCCACCCGATGGGCTAAAACAAGACGTTTCTTTGGGGTACTTGATTTTGCGCAGAGGAAAACACCTGAATTCAATGTTAGTTCCCACTGGTAGTGTTCCTCTTTGATCCATATTTGTCTCGATTCTCGCTCAAATAGCGGTTTGGTTTCAACTAATTCAACGTCAAAATTCAACATTATTGAGCGATCAGGTTTTACACCGCGACAACAGCACAAGTAGTTGTCTTACTTATCTTGATACTAGGCTCCGAAAAACAGTAGTGTAGGCCAATCAGAAATGAGTTGTAAAATATCATCAGATGGGGACCCTACTGTCACCAGAGGGGGACCTTACAGAAAAAAATCAATCAGAATTAATGTGCCGAACGCTATTCAATACCAAAACAACAAATTGAAACAAAATAAATTACATTATTCTTTGAGTCTTAAAAAGTCTTCACTGCGATGGCAAGTCATTCAGATTCCAAGTCACATTATTTGTGTTTTCTGGAAACAAGATCTTCACATGAGGAAGCAACATCTTATACGATTGTTTAATTGTGACTTCAGCGGCTCCGGAAATTGCAGCTATCTGTTCTTTACTTTTCGGGAAGTCGGATGCATGAGACGCCAAGTATATTGCCGCCGCTGCTACTGATACAGGGCTCCTGCCCGCAACAATGTTCAGCTCCACCGCCTTATTTGCAATATGCTCCGACGCTTTTCTAACCGAATGTGGCAGTTCTAAACTACCACAGAACCTTGCCATGAAATCTCCTGACTTGATTATTTCGACAGACGACTCCAGAGCCTTTAGAACTTTTTTGTACGTTCGACCAAGTTCAGTTTTATCGACATTTGAGATAGCCACAGTTTCTTTAAATGACCTTGGAACTCCTTCCTGTCTGCATGCAATGTGGATGCACGAAGCGGCGACTGCGATTCGGTTCTTACCTCTATACTTGCCCGATTCGATTAGCTGTTTGTAACATGTTTTCGCTCTGGTTATAATAGTTTCCTGTAGATTAATTCTATCCGCCATAGTCGTAATTTCTCTGTACCCAGCTGTGAGTGTCCTGTCAGCTGTGTTCTGCGCGCGTACCATCGTTTGTCTACTGTAATCGAATTGGTCGTTGTGCGAGAGATGCGAAGTCCTCTCGGCCACTGTTCCGAGTCCACTGCCAGTTAAAAGATGGTTCTCAACTTCTCCCACACGACTTTTATCCTCGCCCGAATCTGCGAAAGATCTCCATTCTGAGGAGACATCTATACATCTCTCCACAACAACTTTACCACACATGGAGCAAACCATGTCTCCAGCTCTGTAGTCCTCGATCATAGTTGCATCTGGATGCTCTGGACAAGTAACTTCGTCCAGTTTAGGACGCCCTGGAGGCATAGCAGAAGTTGAAGCCATCAGCAATCTGGAAAGATCACTGTCTGCATAAGCTCATCTTTAAAAAAGCGCAAGAAGAATATTCATTTGAAACATTCGCTTGTACAAAAACCCGTTATCACAAATCAGTTCAAATTGAATGACCGCAAACAGGAGTGACATTCCATTGCTGAAATATGAATTGTCAAGCCATGATTTCAGAACTTGATACCTGAACTTATTGTTCCGAACATTTGATAAATGTGATTTTTTTTGCCTCGACCATTGAAAATGGGGAGAACTTTGTACTAGGGTAAGTTTTTTTTTGTTCCGACCAATGAAAATGGGGAGGAACTTTGTATTTGGGCGTGTATTAGTTTTTTCTTTTTGTTTTCCATGAAAAATCAGGAAGCACAAATAATCATCGGACTGGGTTGAGTGACATATCATATTAAAGCCCTTACAATCGTGATTCGAACCACATTAAAAACACATTTTTTTCCAGTGTCGAGAAAAACCGGTTTGAAATTTTTGATTTTTTGTCTTAAATCGAGCGAATGAAGCAAGCGAGCCAACAGCTGAATTATACCTAATTTAAAAAGTTAAAATTTAATTTTATGCAAGACAGCGAATATTATAAAAACATAAATGGAAACTAATCATGAATATCCTCCGGATCATCTGCAAGTAGCACAGACTGTTTCAAGCATGAGTTTTTTTGCAAGCAAACAGAAACTATATTTTGCGAAAACTGAATTGAACCACTTGCGAAACAACACATACAGGGTTAAAACAGCAAAACGCTCAACAACCAGCAAAAATGACTTCCAACTATGCTACATTTGAAACAAATGATCAAGAAAAAAAAGATATTTTTAAGAGGTCCCAATGGTGTTGAATTTGCGAAAATGACATTTGGCGCTAGGGTCTTATCAATTTCATAAACAAAATAGGAGAATTGTAGGAAACAAGATACTTGGTAAATAATCCGACGGAATTGAAGCCGGCAGCCAATGAGCTCAAACTCAACCGAATTATTTAGGCGACATAAAATTGATTTAAAAAAACATGCACTGCCCATATAGTATCCACGGGTGCCATTTATGTACTTAGGGTAAGGTGGTATACATGATGGTAACCACAATGATTAAAAAAAGGTCAAAATCACAAAAATATTTCAATTATTAAAAAGTTGTTTTCTTTTTTTTATATAAAAGTGCAATTGAACAAGCTTACAAACAAGAATAAAAAACTTTGCTAAAAACCCAAATGTAAAAGAATTCAATTCGTTGTAATTAAAATTGAGTTCAATCTCACAAATTTTGTAACTTTCGCCTGAAACTCAAAAGCATTCTTTGACACTTTTTCAACTGTCTGTAGGCAGTTGAAAAAGTGTCAAAGAACTCGAAACAGAAAATAAGACCTAAATTTTAATTTAATTGTGACCAAAAACATTTGTATAGAATTTCTTCAAAGTAATGACTGGCATTTTTTATCAAAAAACCAAACTTTTTTTAATGGATCAAAAGATAACGAGAGTAAATAAACCAGCCGAAGTATAAGCCAAGCGAAAATGCGCGGGGTATAAAAGCCAGCCCAAAGTTAGCATCATAAAATGAGTCTGCATAAATTTCGTTACAATTACACACAGAGGCGAAGCGGAGCTTCGCACCACTTGCTATACAACACAGTCATAAAAGAGTCTAAGTCGAAAAAATGAGGAACGTCAAAAAAAACTAGGTGAACGAAAAATTTCGTGTGTCTCGATGAAGGACGCTTAAGGCCAGCTAAAGCTGGAGGCAAGCGTTTTTGATATCTTTTCAATTTGTGATAACGAGAGTAAATAAACCAGCCGAAGTATAAGCCAAGCGAAAATGCGCGGGGTATAAAAGCCAGCCCAAAGTTAGCATCATAAAATGAGTCTGCATAAATTTCGTTACAATTACACACAGAGGCGAAGCGGAGCTTCGCACCACTTGCTATACAACACAGTCATAAAAGAGTCTAAGTCGAAAAAATGAGGAACGTCAAAAAAAACTAGGTGAACGAAAAATTTCGTGTGTCTCGATGAAGGACGCTTAAGGCCAGCTAAAGCTGGAGGCAAGCGTTTTTGATATCTTTTCAATTTGTTATACTGATGCATGACGAAATGCGGAGTTTCAAAACTTGGACTTTGCCCAAAACACTAGTTGTGTCTCTAATAAAATAAGTGAGATGAAAAATTTTGAGACTTTGGAATTTACCCAAAGACTACCTTTCTCTTACAAAAAATTAGGGAGTTATTTGCATGAAAAAATCGCACAACCGCTTTCTTCGATTGAAATTTTCATTGAGATTAGAAATTTCGAGCATAGTAAAAAACTTCAAAAACGGTCAAAAGTTCAAAACTTTCAATTGTTTGAAGGCCATAAATTTTTCGAAAAAAACCACGCCCAGTAAAATATAAAAGTGAGCATCCAACAAGATGTTGTGTCGACTAAGCCAATGATATCAGATTTGGCAGGGTAGTCATCGAGAGAAGTCCAAAAAACGGTCAACAAATCAGAAATTGGGCGTAGCCGCTTAAGCAGAAAAAAATCACCTGCTTTGAAATTTCGATAGAACCCAAAAACCCAAGTTTGGCAGGGTAGTCCTCGAAAAAAGTCAAAAGTTTCAAAAAACGGTCAATCAGAACTTAGACTTTTCCGAGGGCCATATTTTTTGTGTCAATTGAACCCAAAATCTCATATTGGGGAGGAGTCAAAATTTCAGATATGGGAAGTAACTTTCGGTAAAACTAAAAATTAGGAAAAAAAGCTAAAAAAATTGACGTTTCCGAGGACGATAACTTTTTGTGTAGAAAAATTGTGAATGACCGCTAATGCAGCTTCCCACTACCCTTGATCTCCATTGAGCCCACAACCTCATGTTTGGGAGGTTAGTTTTCGAGAAAAGTTAAAAAAGAATAAAACGGTCGAAAAATCAAAAATTTGACTATTCCAAGGAACAGAATTTTGTGTAAAGAAAGTTTGGTCAGACAGCAGTTGAGCCGCAAAAAAAACTGGTTTTGTAGAAAAATTTTGAAAATTTCAAGTCCCCCTGAAACTACCCTGTAGTAACTAGTACCTACCCAGTGGCTGAATCTGAATTTTCATAAACTGAGCATGTCATGCAGCTGACATGCTCAATTTCATGAAAACTCAAACTTGATTCAACTGATTTTGTTAAACTAGTTGTTAACCCAAAAAAGCCTACATTCCGATTTGATAACGCTTGCTAATCGCAAGAGTAATATCTATTATATACCACAGTGTTTTCGGCTGGTTAATAATTCGGCTGTTTAATACCTCGGCTGGTTATATACCACTAATATATAATAATGATGGTTAAATACCACCAAAAATAATTTCTTAAAATTTAGGTCTATTTTTGAAACTAGAAACCATTCATGTTTCAAGTACCATTTGCACTTTCTTTCGAAATTGGAGAGCAGAATTTTCCCTCCTTTTAGCAAATGAATTTCAATTGAACTAAAAAGCACATACAAAAATGCATTCATAAACTCATTAATTATGAATACACATTAGTAGTTAATCGAGCATTTTAAAACTTTTCCCGGCCTAGAAAAAAATCATCTGGACCTACATAATTTCTTCATGCTGGCAACTGAACCAGAAAAAATAAGACTTGAAACAAATGTAAGTTCTTGTTCCAGTGATAACACTTACTAATCCCAGGCTCGGAAAGCTCGTTCAAAGATTTTTCTGATGCTTCTCTCAGATATTTCCCTAGGTTGTCAATAGCATCAAAAATTTATAATCATTATAATATTAATTAGACAAAATGGAGACGTCTTCGTGAACAATCGAGCAACAAACTAAACAAACACAACGTATATCTTTGATATTAGGCCTAGTTTCCTGATAATATCTGACAATTCTTCAAATAAACAGGCCCGATCTCTAGAAGGAATGAGTCTACTTAGTCATACAAATGAAACAAAGCGAAAAGAAAAAATTGAAAGCATCTTCATAACGTATCATTCACTGCCAAACGTTTTTCATTCAATGAAATGAACGTTCGCGGTTACTAAACCAATTCGGTTGCAGCATTTTTCAGTCATCATCATCATGTTGTTCAAATCGGGAATCAGTTTATGTTGAGAAATTTTTGAACATCCTCTGGTATCTCTGTTTTTCCTTCTCTTTTTCCTCCTTGGCTCGTTTGCTGCACTCTTCCAATCGTTTTCTGGCAGTTGCGTTTTTAGGGAACTGTTGGACTACGTCGCCGAACAGAGATTTCGCTTTGTCATACTCGTGTAGGGAAAGAAGGCACTCGGCTTTTCGGAAAAGTGCTTTCTCCATCCTCGCCTCTGCAACTTCTTCACTTCCAGAAAGAACATCGTCGCAGTGCTCCATAGCCTTATTGTAGTTTTTAGATTTGAGGAAACAGAGTGATAGGTTAAGGTGACTTGTTTCTAGTAAATCCAGTACTCGAGGGTCTGTTTTAGCTAAAAAGGAAAACAAAAATAAATGTATGTTGTCAAAAAAACACTTCCACTCATTTATGTCTCAGAAAACATATATCAACACAGAGGTGAATCTTCCATTCGCAAACACAAGCGAGAACACGACAAAAAGCAGCTTTATAAAGTACAATAAAAAATAATAAGCCTCGAATTAGCAAAAACTGCGAACTGGGATTCCAAACTGCGACCTTGAGATTAATAGTCACACACACTAACCACTCAGCCACGGAATCTTAATTTTATGCAGGAGATAGAAGATTGACACTAGCTACAAAAAAAAACCAGAGAACAGATAATATCCACAGAGGCGAAGCAGAGCTTCGCACCACTTGCGATAGAATACAAACATTAAAAAAAAATAGGTCAAAAATTTTTTTACATTTTGAAAACTAGGTGAATCAAATTTTTCGTAGCCTCGGTAAAAAACAATTACAGGCCCAGCTAAAACTGGAGGTACGTGTTTAATAGTTGCAGTACTGATACGGCACGAAAAGTGTATTTCAAAAATTGGACTTTGCCGAAAACATCAGTTGTTTCTCTAATAAAATACGTGAGAAGAGTAAGAAATTTTAGATAATCAATTTTCCCAAGGAGATAGCATTTCTCTCAGAAAAAAAATAAGGAATCACTGCTTCTGCAGGAACAAGTATTGTAACCCGTTCTTTCAAGGGAAATTTTCATCTCAGATTTGATTGTGTAAATTTCCAGAAGTCTCAAAAGTTTCTAAAAAACGGTCGAAACTTCTAAATCATGTTCAAAAACTTTCCAAAATCCATAAAACTTTTCTGCAAAAAAGCAGGTTATGGCCACATAATCAGTGCATATTTCCAAAGACGGTTTTCTCTAGTGAACACAACCTGAGAATCGGCCCGGAAGTTTTCACTTAAAGTCAATAGAATTCCAAAAAAACTGTCAAAGTTTCAAAATTTTGACTTGTTTGAAAGCGATAACATGTTTGTTTAACAGAGTGGGCAAAGTTTATTTAAAAGGTAGGCTTTGAACAACCTGTTCATTCGATTAAACCTATAATATCAGATTTGGCAGGATATTCAGCTACAAAGAAAAACGGTCAACAAAATTTTTTTGACGATCCCGAAAATAATTGATTTTTGCGAGAGAAAATTATACGAAAACCTTATTCAGAGGGATTAACGCAAGCTGTAATTTCGATTGAAGCCAAAATATCATATTTGGGAGGGTAGTTTTGGAGAAAAGTCAAAAACTTTCAAAAAAAACTGTCAAAAGCAAAACTTTTACTTTTTCGAAGGGCAAAATTTCGGGAGTCAAAAAACTTTTGCGTAGTCGCATCAGCAAATTAACTTCCCGAAAAACGTTCTAAAAATTGAACCCAAAATCTCAGTTATGGCAGTGTGATTAAATATTCAAAAAGTTTAAGAAAACTGTCAAAAAATCAAAAACTTGACTTGTCAGAGGGCGATAATTTCTTAGGTAAAACTTTTTGATATTGTCCGCTAATGCAGAGGAGCTTCCCACTACCTGTTATCTCATTGAACTCACAATATTGGATTTGAGAGGTTAATTTTCGAGAAAAGTTGAAAAGATCCTTAAAACGGTCAAAAGTTTGACTATTCCGAGGACCATAACTTTATTAGCTAAAAAAATTTGGTCGTGGCCACTTTTGCCGGGAAATTTTACAAAACAGTTCCATCCATTCAAACCAAAAACTCATATTTGAGAGGTGTATTTTCGAGACCACAAAATAATTAAAATAAGAGTCATATATTCCCACACACTTTTTCAAAGGCTGTAGACAGAGGGCTGTAGAAAAAAAAGACTCTTGGGGAGTTTGCAGGCACACAAAAGAATAAGCGATCTTTCAATTGATACTATTTTTTTGAAAATTAGACAAAATTTCTGAGAAAAACCAAAATTTTTGCGAAAAGCGAAAAAATATTCCAAAAAAATTTCAACAAACAGATTGATAAACATACAACCAACTTGAAAAGTGCGGAGGGGAGAGCTAAATTTGCGTTGATCTTGAAACTTCCCGAAATAAGGTCATTAAGCCGATGAAAATTATGCCGAAATATCTTTGGCCGAGGAATTTTTTTAGCGAAACATAAAAAAGAGGAAATCTGAAGTCAAGGTAGGTAAAATTACAAAATGTAGGCATAAATCAACACTAAAGCAACATAATAAAAATGCGCGTAGAAAAAAAAACAACTTCAAGATGTGACAACTCAGCCGACGACAGATGAGCAGACAAATAATTGGCCGACAATTTTTTTGAAACAGAATATTTCCCTTGAAAAAAAAACAGTTCCTGATCAGACTCGAGCCCAGGACCTATACAGTTCCAGGCATACTCGTTACCTCCCAGCTAAGTTGGCCAGGAACGCTATGAAATTTGAATACATTATGAAACAAGTTAGAGATCAGTCCAGATGAGTCCTGTGGTCAAAGTTGTTTGCGGGAAAAAACGTCTAGTACACGGTTGCAATACCCTTGCTTATCGCAAGGGTAACAATTTCCATTGCTACCTTGAAATTTCTAAATAAGTGACTTTTAATGAACACTATTATTTGCGAGTTAGATTAGAAAAAAGAAGGTTCGTAATAAGACACTAAGCTGACGCAGCTAGTGTAATAACGCAAACAAATACCACTAGCAGTAGCCGATTTAGTTGTGGGGGGGGGGGGGGGCGAACGCCATCTTCAGGGATTCGACCCATTCACCACCCAACCCTAAGGGACCCTTTTGGTACTATTTTACGACATCCATTATCGGCGCTTTTCTAAAACTGTTCTTAAGGCACTGATATACACTAATTTGAGTCACAACGTTGCATTAACTGCATGCGAACACAAATTTCACGACCTTTCTTACTTATTGCAAAATTACTACTTACTTTCAACTTTTCCATTCTGAGCCTCTGAATCACCAGCTGGCGTGGCCTCCGCCTTCTCGCCCTCTTCGTCATCGCTGTCACTCAAATCGTCATGCACAGCTCTTGGACCTTTGATCTCATCCTCCAGAATCTTAACAACCTTATCGAAAAACTTGATGGCCATCTCCAAGTTTCCCTTCTCCAAATAATTCTTTGCCGAATCTCTTTTCAGTTCAGCCTGCTGAATTTTCTCCTCACTGTTCATTTCCCAGCTTTCCTTCTCCTTCTCAAAAGTCTTCAGGTTGATCACAAACTTCATGTCTGAGTTCAGAGGCGCATTCGCGAATGCAGCACTCGCTTCGCGAAATCCGTGCTTCGACGTTACAGTTAGCTCACATTTTTCGCCCGTTTTCATATCATCAAGCACTGTCTCAATGAACTTCGGGAACCCATTAGCGCACTCCTCTCCGTGTAAGAGATCTCCATCGAAGATCCCGAAGCTTTCATTTCCGGGAACAGTAAAACCTTCAATTTCCACTTTCAATCTGGCTCCGTCATTAGGTGTTGTCCAACCACCGCCTTTATTGAGAATCCTCTTCTGAATAGATTTATCTTTCTCGTCACTGATATCTTCGCCAAAGAAATCAAAAAGTTCTACTTCAAATTTAAGAGTAGCGTCTCCTGGAATTTTGGGTGATGACCCGTCCTTTCCATAAGCGTAATCCGCTTTGCAGATCAGATCACATTTCTCTCCTTTTTTCATTGACGCTACACCCAAATCCCACCCTTTGATTACTTGACCAGTACCAAGTGTGAACTCGAACTTCTGGTCGCGGTCTCGACTGGAATCAAACTGTTCGCCTCCGTCCAAAAGGGTTCCCACATAGTGAACAGAAACAGTGTCTCCAGTCATTGGAGAATCCCCGGAGCCTTCGACCAGAATGGTCTTCAAGACACCTCCATTTTGCTCAGGAGTCAGATCAGTCATGTTGGTTCGATACTTGATACTGCTTACGTTGAATAGTAGAAAGTCACAAGACTCGTTGCACAAATCACGTCAATCTGAAAAAGCACTCAATCTGATAAAGAAAAAAAATTTCACGTGCAACTGTTTTTCAGCTCGTAGACCTCAGAGGTACTCGATATTCATTTAGAAAACTAGGGAACCAGCTAAAGCTACCTGTTTGATATTTTTTGAATTTGTTGTACTGATTCGAGATGAAACGGGTAATTTCAAATATTCTAAAATAGGACTTCACTTCTGTCAAATTTCTTACAAGTTTTGAGGCGTAGCCGCTTATTGCAAGGAGGCTTCCCACGACCTGTTTCCTCGATTAAACCCTTGATGCCACATCCGGCTGGGTAGTTTTAGAAAAAAAAAAGTTTCAAAAAACGGTCAGGTAATCAAACTTTTCCGAGCCCATTACTTTTAATGAGAAAGAAAACGGGCCGCTTGTGCAGGTAAGCTTCAAATACCTCCCTGATTTTTCCATTGAAGCCAAAACCTCAATTTTCAGAGGGTGGTTTTCGAGAAAATTCAGTACGTTTAAAAAAACTGTCAAACAGTTCCAAAAGAGATTTTTCTGAGGGCGTAATTTTTTGTACAAAATTTGGTCGTAGCCGCTTATACAGGGAAGCCTCTTACAACCCGTTCTTTCGTTTGAAATAAAAATATCAAATTTGAGGTAAAAAAGGTCAAAAATCAAATTTTAACTTTTCATGAATTTTCGTGTATACAAATTTGGACAAAGCTGCTAAAGCCGTGGAGCTTCTTACATCCCGTTGTCTCCATTGAAACCTCAATCTCATATTTGGGAGGGTAGTTTTCGAGAGAAGCCAAAAAGTTTGAAAAATGTTCAAAAAAAACGGAAAATGTAACTTTTCCTAGGGCCATAAATTTTCGTTTAAAAAACTTGGGTGGTATCCATTATCTCAGATTTATAAAAGTAGTTTTCGAAGTGATTAAAAAAATTGAACAGTCAAAAATTCACAAATATGACTTTTCCACGGGTCATAACTATGGGGTAATTTTTGGGCGCAGCCGTTTATGCAGTGGAACGGAACTTCTAACAACCTATCATTTCGATTCAATTCAAACTCTCAGATTAAGGAGTGCAGTTTTCGAAAAGAAGTTATAAAAACGATCAAAAAGTCACATCTATGTTTTTTTCCGAGGATCATAACTTTTTTCGTAGGAAATTTTGGCGTAGCTGTTTATGCAGCGGAGCTTCTAAGAAACTATCCTTTCGATTGATTTCAAAATCTCCCATTAGGGATTGTAGTTTTTAGAAGACAAAATAAAAAAACTGTCAAAAAACGAAAATTTAACTTTTCCCAGGGCCATAAATTTTCAGCCGTATTAATTTATTTAGGGCAGCTTTTTACAATCCGTTCTACCCATTGAAACCAAAATCTCAGAACTCTTCGAGAAGAGTAGAAAAAATTGTCAAAAAGTCACAAATATGCCTTTTCCGAGGGTCATAACTTTACTCCCAACAAAATTTGGGCGTAGCCAGGGGGCGAATCCAGGATTTTCTCGAAGGCGCGGATTTTCAAAAAGCTTTTGAAAAATTTTAACGATAAAATTGCGTTTTTTGGCGCTCGCTCCCACCTTCCCAAAATAAGTATATTTTGGCGCTGAAGGCGTCTTTAGAAAAATTTTAGAGTCAGTCAGCCAAAAATGGATACCGCAAAATAGTACAAAGGGGACCCTGTGGGTCGGCAGGGAGCCGAATCCCTGAGAGGTGTGAGCTCACAATCTCCTCAGATTTGGGAGGGTTTTTTGAGAAGCCAAAAAGTATCAAAAAACGGCCGAAAAATCAAAACTTCCGGGGTCCATAACTTCTTGCATAAAAAAATTTGGATGAAGCAGCTTATGCAGGGGAGCGTTCCTCAACCGGCTCTATCCATTGAACTCAAAACCTTTAAGTCTAAATACTTTAAGTTAAATATTCTCCCCACATACTTTTTCGAAGGCTGTAGAAATAGGGTAAGGTGAAAAAAAGACCAGAGAAATATTTTTTGGAAAAAATATTTTTCGAGAGAAGTGAAAAAATCTTGCAAAGCGTCTTAAAAAAATAAAAAGCTGATTCCAATAACTTTTCACAATACCCGTTCTTTTCAAACAGGAATATATTTTGATAGCACCTTTTTAAATTACTAACCATAAATGATACAATTAGATGATAGAAAACTAATTCAACAATATATAAATAGGCAATGCTTACCCAGAAAAGGATATAAAATGAAATCTATTTCTATCAAGAAAACTATTTATTTCCACGTCACATTTCTGTTTCTCAGCTTCTGACAAGCTAAGTTCCATCAGACTATGCTCCAAAATTTTATCATCACTCAACTCCATGTAGCTAGCAAGCAATCTTCGGACCAATTCGATGTCCGCATACGTGATAGCTAATTCAGGCCCGTTCGTTTGAATAATTTTAACTAGCTGTCCGATAACTAGGCCAAAAAGCGACTTGACAGAAGAAGGGTGGATTGTCTTCAGGTAGCCGAAAACACGAACCAAGTGATGCAAGAAAAGGCGACATAGCTTTGTTATTTTAACATGGTCAACGATATCTTCAAAATCATTCGACTTCGCAACATCCAATAGATTATTTTCCACAGCAATGGTCTGAAACAACTGATAAGCGCTCTGTGCAAACATCACTCGAGTTGACATGAAAATCTCACTGTACCGCGTCACGCAGATATCCGAAATTTCTTTGACCGGTAGATTCGGATAATTTTCTTTCGCAAACTCGCCTTGTGCGAATGCCGACAAAACTGCTACATTTCTCATAATCACTATCAGAATCATTTCAATTTTTAGTGCCGAGAAACACGAAACGGTCGTGATGTTGGACTTAGCGTTTACTCGAGTTATGAAAGCTTCGCTCATGAAATCTTCAGTCATGACTATTGCATAATATTTCTCTGCAATCAGAGCGAAAAACTGGCAGAGTAGCTGAGTAAACTGAGCTCGTTCTTCGCTCGATATTGACTGCCACAAACTGCTCTCTAGATTTTCATCCACCGCTGTGTTGATCTGATCGATGAATGCGAGATATTGCTGCATTGATTCGACAATCTTCGCAAGACTTACAGACTCGAAGCCAGAGTCAGTTATTTTGAACTGCCAAGCTTCCCTAAAACAAAGTTCCAGATTTACTGAAAAATCAAGGTGAAAGACTCGTCTAAAACAGTAACAAGAATAACCGTTTGCTGAGCATGAAGCACAAAAGGTTCGATCATTTTTGTGATAAAGCCTATTTGCAGTGATTTAGTTGAGAACTTATTGTTCAGATCACTCTTTAAGGAATTTTGACCGATTGATGGAAAACATTTAACCAATCAGAAACATTCGACGTTTCTATTGGCTAAATGATTTTTGCACAAAACCGAAGTCAATTTTAACGAAAAATGGTTTATAGTAGCACAGCAAAGTTTTGCTGTACAATTAGTGTCGATATACAATATAAATTTTTTATTTTATTTCCAATTTTCTTAAAACTAGTTTCAGGTTTTTTCCAATACCCGAATGTGATTTGGCAATATTTGAAATTACTTGTACCTGCTTATTTTCTAATCTGTCAGAAATCATGTTAATGGCCTGGGTTTATTCGTTTTCTTTCTGATTGGCTGAATATAACTGAATTTTTTTTTTCAACATTTGGACCCTCCATCTTGAGGGACGCCACCTATTTTGCCTCGTTATAGGTAGACTAAATTGACTACGTTTATCGACTCTTTAAAACATGAATATATGAGAAACATGAGTGACCTCGAGCGAGAAATCTTCATCAAATAAGTAAATTTGCCTTTACAAGATAGCTCTGGTTTTATTGAAGAAGTAAGTACATTTTTATTCGAGAAGAAATTGACATCAAGGCACGTCTGGGCACCTGATGACTCATTTGAACTGTTTCAACTTAATAGGCTAACCAGTTAATCTCGAAACCTAAGTCAAACAGGTGGAGTAAATTACCGACACTAATATAGCTGAGGTATTTTTATGCATACATTCTGAAGGTAGATCTTTTGGGCGTAGATATGACAAAAAAGTCAGTTTATCCGCAATACCCAATGTTAAAGACATTTTTCAAAAATTAGAACGGCTCTTAACTAAAACTAACTGAACCAAAAAGCATTTTTGAAATCGATTAGATGACAAAACAATAAACAGGACACCATCTTACTGAGATGCTCAGCTGCTTGGTTACCTACCCTCGTAATATGAATTTCCAACTAATGTACCAGCGCAAACAAATTTACTCACCGAAGAGTAGGTCATCTACATAGCTACTGGCATTTTACCAGTGAACAGGCGCATATTTAAATATATTTCTGTTTCACTTCGCAAACTTGATTTTTAGTCAACTGATGTGCAACTATCCCTAAAACTTTCCGAGACTAATCAGTCAACAAACTCTTTTTATATATATACAAACTCGATTTATATATTAAAGGATATATCAGCTTGATTTGGAAAATATATTTAGGTTACATTGTAATGCTTTCTAATTTCACTGACTCCTGGTTTAAAGTTGGCAAACTTTTTGAAGGAACAAGGCTCAAGAACAGGAAACGAAAAACCAAGGCAACAAAATTGCCCGCTTCAAATTCGCTGAACACACTTAGGCCAAACTTAGGCTCTATACATATGGAAGCATTCGCGTCTCCTATAAACTGGTTTAAATTCAACAAAAAATACGAAAAAAGAATTTCATTAATTGCATCTGAAAATTTATTCAAAAAAGCATCTATTTGAGGCCCCAAATTTAAGTTCATCTTTTCGCGCTTCGCAAATACCAGCTAGACATATCGGACGGGAGCGTTAAAGTACAAGAAAAAACTAAACTAAATATCTTTGAAACTGAGCCCTCTACGTGATTCGAACTCGCGCCGTTGCAGAGTCTAATGCCCTTCAGCTTCCGCCTTGATGTCTTCAAACACTAGCCAATAAAAAAGCGGACACAATAACAACGCATTCTACTCAAAAGCTAATGCTCAAATGTTATGCAGCAAAAGTACCATCAATTTGAGCACTTATTTATGCGAGTTGGGTTGAAAAAATTTGGGTTGGGTTGCAACTTATGCAGCAAAAGTGCAATCAATTTGAGCACTTATTTATGCGAGTTGGGTTGAAAAAATTGAACTCTAAGTTTGCTGGTGTAGCTATGTGCTTGTGTTCATTTTGTGGTTTTATTAAACATATTTGTTTCAATGTGTCGTCCGCAAAAGAAAAACATCGTTAAATTTGCAGAAAAACTGGTTTAAACTACTCGGTTAAGAACTTCAATCAAAACTTGAAAACGATAAATAGGTGATTAATTTTGAATAAATTGTCTATCTTTTAATAGTGCTTCCAGTCGGCAATTGCATATTAATAGCATACCTTTCAAAATTGCAGGATCATGCAAATATCTAGGCGTTTACGCCTAGCAATTAAAGTGATGCTTGTCATTTAAACATCACTTTAATTGCATACGATCTAAGCTAAGTAAACAAGGTGGCATTGTTTCGAAAATGCACCATTATGTTACCAAAAGCGTAATGATTGAATATGATGACTTTAACATCCAGCCCGTTTTGCGATATGAAATATTGGTGTATGGTTGCACTTCTTACACAAACCATTAATTAAAAACCTCTTTTTAAAAACCAAAAAGAAAATTATTTGATTGATTTTCTTCAAAAGAAAATATGAAAGCATTCGTCAAGTTTTTAACAGAAGCGAAGTTGCACTTCGCATACACGAGCAAAAATATGAAAAAAAACGCTACTGGGAAAACTGAATGAGTACAACTTTGAGTTTACAGAATTTCTTGAGTGACGCAAGCCAAATAATAACTCTATATAACACGCCAATTAATAACTCTATATAATTGCTAAAAGACGCAAGCCAATTATGACGCATTAGCAGTACCAGTCAATTTGAAAAAAATTACAACTAGGAAGTTTGAACTAGGAAGAGGATTCGAACCAAGCAGACGCATTTTAACTAGTGTACGAAAAAGTGCACTACAAACATCCGACCCTGTTCAGTTCGAATCCTCTTATTTTGTTGCGGGTCTCCTTCCCTACCTCTACGCTACAGATTCATGATACCTTGAAGCTAAAGCGCTATTTGTAATATAAAAGTCTGTGTTCAAATCCTTAGCATTCACTGTACTTAATAATTGGTTATTGATCAAAATGAGCACTTTCAAAACGAACACATTTTGTCGCAACAAATTTGCTTTGCAATAATACTTGCGACTTTGGTTGGAAAAGAAGAAGAGTTCATACTACAACACAAGCTTTGCTTGTCTAATAATGAAAACTTTTTAACAGTCTACGAGTTACATGTTTAAGAAATTTTCAGACTAGAGGCCTGCTGGAGCTGGAAAAACCTGTTTGATAATTTTTGAAATTTTTGTATTGATGCGGAAGGACAAGGGCAATTTCAAAAATAGACCATTACCAAAGTAAAGTAAATCCCAATATAATGACTTCAAAATCTGTTAATTTAGCCAATTTCTTAAAAAGTGAAGTAATTAAAAGAGCTTGTTAGGATGAAAGATGTTTAAAACGTAGCTATTAGATTTGAATGGGTAGTTTTCGAGAGAAATAAAACAAATTAAAAAAAACGGTAAAAACCGAGAATTTGACTTTTCCGGGGGTCACAAATTTTTGTATTCAAAAATTGGGCGTAACCAGGCACAAGCAGGCGAAACTCACACAACCCGTTCTACCCACTTAAACCAAAACCTCAGATTTGGGAGGGTAGTTTTCGAGAAAAGTCGAAAAGGTAGGGGAGGGTAGTTTTCGAGTTTAAAAAAAGATAAAAAAATCGAAAAATTCGACTTTTCCGAGGGTCATTAATTTTTGTGTTAAAATTTTTTTGGGCGTAACCACTTGGGAGCTTCTCACAGCCCGTACTTTCGATGGAAACTAAAATCTCAGATTTGCGAGGGACGTTTTTGAGATAAGTCAAAAGTTTCAAAAAAACGGTCAAAAATTCGACTTTTCCGAGGGTAAAAAATTTTTGTGTAAAAAAAAACAATTGGGCGTAGCCGCTATGCAGGGGAGCTTCACACAAGTGGTCATAACCGTTGAACCCAATATCTCAGATTTGGAAGAGTAGTTTTTGAGAAAATAAAGAACCCAAAAATTTGGGTCAAAATTCCCTCCACACACTTTTTCGAAAGCTGTAGAAAGTGGGGTAAGATTTTAAAAAAGACTAGGGGATTATGCAGGCACACATGGGAGTGTCTAAAAAAACAAAACAAAATTAAAAAAAACCAAATCCCATACATTTTCTTAATACCTATTTTAATCAAACAGGAATTTGGCTTGCAGTTAATATCGGGATTACATTCAGGTTCAAGCTGCGCATCGATATGTAGAATGATTTTTCTTCAAAGAAATTGAAAAAAGCATGTAAGAATACATTTCTAAAAAAAATGTCAAATTCTTGGAAAATCTCCAATTTCGTAATTCATTCGATATAACGGGCAGTGCTTTGTAACCCAAGTAGAAAACGGGGCATCATTAGAAGAAGCCTTGAACAACATAGTGGGCAGTATAGGAGAACAGAATGAACAGATGTCCATAAGAATGAGTGAACTAGAAAGAGCAGTCCACGTTGAAAGAGAAAGTCTGCGGGAAGAAATAAACCGCAATAGACAAGAAGTTGGTAGCTGTCCCCTCACTGTTTCTAGTTTTTCATGATATAATTTTCGTTCTGAATATTTACCATTAACAAGAAATAGATTCTTCTTTTTCAAAATGAACAATCACGCTTTCGATTGACTGGCTCGATTTCGTGCACTCAGTTGCGTTTACTCAATTTTATCTAATTCACAATAAATTTGTAAAAAAACGAAATGCAATCGAGTGTAATAACCTCACAAAAATTTCGTTTTTATACAAAGTTAGTTTAGCTTGCAGTGTTTCTTTTCGCGCAGGGAAACCCTTACCATAACATGAAATTTCTGAGGGTAATTTTTGTTCCGACCACGATAATGTTCTGACCGCAATTAATTAAAAATAACAAGCTAGCAACACACCTCCGATGCTTTGCATTTTCGAACTCATACAAATAACCGCAAATTTTAGAAAAAAGATTTGCAAGTTTTGCAAAAATAGGGTTGGTAATTTCAAATTTTGTTCAGTTTTTTCTTTTCAAGTTTTTCTAAATTCAAATTTTGAGAAACCAAAAAAAAATTTTTTTATATAAGTTCTTTGAAAAGTTGACAAAAAAGTCACATCTCAAAAGTAAAAGCATTTGATCAGTCGCATTTGGACGCAAGATTGGCAACTCCTGAGAGTATTCTCATAGCATCCAACTACAGGGTAGGGAATTTCAAATTTTGAGAAACGTTTTAAAATGAAGTTTTCTAAAAATTTGAAAAACTATAGAAACGTCATATCTCGAAAACTACAAAAAATTGAGCAGTCATATTCGAAGGCAAGACTCTCAATTCCTGGGAGTAATCTGACAGAGCCTCAAAATAGAAATGTGAATTGTATATTTTGTGATTTTTTATATGTAAGTTCTTAGAACAATAAAAAAAGACAGAAAAATATCTCGAAAGCTAAGAGCATTCAAGCAGTCGCATCTGGACGCGAGATTTTCAACTTGGAACACGTGAGTGCACCCTAGCAGTACCCAACTACAAGGTTGGGGAATTTCAAATCTTTTGAATTCTTAAAATCCAAGTTTTCTTTAAAATGAAAAAGAAATCATGAAACACGTCATATCTCGAAAACAACAAAGACTTCAGCAGTCATATTTTAAGGCACGAGTTGCAATTCCTGAAAGTACTCAACTACAGGGTTGAGAATTCCAAGGTTTGTGATTATTTTTTAACTTCAGTTTTTTCTGAACATTTTTGTCGTATCTCGTTGACTAAAAAATCGTCGTATCTCGTTGAGTAAAAGGATTTGGGTGTTCAAAATTGGAGTCCAAAATCGCAACTTCTGGTTAAACCCTTGCAGTGTCCTAACATTATTGTGTTAAAATTTTCAAAATTGACGAAATACTCCTTGAAATCAAACAGGAAAATCGAAAGAAAGTTGTAGCTTAAACGTGAAAAATTCTTTCGTTAAACATGCAAAAAAAATACGTTGAAAAAACTTAAGCATGGCGAAATAGTGAAGCCCGCATTTTAATATTTAAAAGAGTGGCGTGATATATTGAGGGTATAATCTGATAACCCTGATCTTAAACATTCAAAATGCGCTAAAATACTCACTCGAACTCTTCCATTTGAGCAGTCGCATTCTGTAGCACCTTTACAAAGCAGTACTTCCTCATTCTGATCAGCTGGGCCGCTAGCACTTCCAACACTTCGCCAGGAGTGCCCGACTGTCCGAAAAAGCCAACCACACCTCGCATCTCCCCCACAAACGTCATCATGTGTTCATTAGAACCTTCGCCTCCCTCATCGACCCAGGGATCTCCCAGTTCAAACGTCGAATCTAGCGCTTTGTTCACGTGATTGATAAACAACCTCGTCATATTTGTACACATGGACACAAAGGTTTGAAGATTTTCGGGCAAATTTCTCATCAAAGCTTCAGGTTCTGATCCCACGGCGTAGTACCGAGGGTATTTGGCATTTGATTTTGATGTTTTAGTGCGCCCACTTAACCTATATGCCTCTCCCATTTCTAGCAAAAGTTTCATATTAACTTTGAAGAGTTCGCTGATTTCTTTGACGAACACTATTTTGATTGGATCGTTCACAGTAATTTCGACTGTTAGTCTGAAACAAAACACCATGAAATGAAAAGTTGGAAAAATAATCCCGTGTCATCTGCCCTGTTTTTCGAAAAAAAAAATCATTATCAAATAAAACTGAATCAGAAATAACTGCCTTTGCTCAACTTGTTTTTATTAAGCCTGTCTGTTCATAATGAAAAAGTCTACATACCGATTGTTCTCGAAATCAGAGTAAGCTTCTCTGCATTTGTTCAACAACGTTCCTACAAGCTCGCCCATTTTCAAAATCGCTTGCCAGGCAGGATCCTCTTTAGAACTTAAGCCCAGTTTAACCAAGAAATCAACCATTCGCACCTGGAAATCCAGGGAATTTGGCATATCCATGAGCTGTTCATTGATACGATCCTTTACTTTCGAGATCTGCTCATTAATTTGATGCTTCAAAGTTTCGAAAACAGGGTGATCGTCGTTTCGCTCCAACAAAACAGTAGCATGCTCAAAATCTTTAATAATCAAATCGTACCGATCCAGATCCACATTAGCCAGGATAGTTTTAGGCAAACTGAACAAAAAGTTGTATCGGCTCAACACATTGAGCGCATTTCGCATTGAGTCACTTTCGTCTTTTCTTTGCAGTACATCCGAGAACAAGTTTTGAGTTTCCAGATTTACTTTTTTAACATTTTCACATAACTTGGCCATTTTGTCCGAAGTCAAATACTGGTCGTCTTTAATAGGCCGCGACAAACTTTGAATGATGTCATTACATTCTACAATTTGGCTCATATTTTTCTTCAAATGTTCAACTGGTCCTTTCTGCTGCTTGTCAATCAACCCATTCAAAAGAGTTTGTCCTTGCTTCAACTGCTCTAGTTTCGTACTTGCATGGTTCTGCAGAATATAGAACACTGGATCAAAATCTTCGCTTTTAACATCACCTGAACTCTCAGTAGCATGTGGCAACATTTTCTGTAGCTGGCTGATAGATGACCGTTCGGTCATATTGAGGTCATCGTATAGACATAGGAGATCACGTTCTTTTTGCACTACAGGAGTATCAACCACAGTCTCTTTAGTCCGGCCGAACCTGATGACGAACTTATCATCGCCCTCCCAGTACTTCGACTGCAACCCACTACCATCCTTGGGCGGGTGGGCAGTAAATTGAGGACCCTAAACAGTTGTACTGAACATTGACGACGTTCAATATATTCAATCATGTATCTCACAGAAAAATAGTTAAATACACTTTAGTAATTTCCAAAATTTTATTAAACTTACGTTCATTCTCGATTAAAGATTTCAAAAAAATTCGGCGAAATATGTTCAATTTATACTTCGACTACATGCAACTCGACTGAAAATTTTGAAGGATCTCATGGTGCATGTGCATGCCCCCAATTCATCTGACTTAGGAGGGCGCCATCAGCTGGTCATTTCTAGCAACAATGTACTTCAATACTTATTTTTATGCTACATGGATGCGTCACAGAAATCTTAAGCCCTCCGTTCTTTTTGCTGTGTGCAAAAAAAAGGTGACAAAAAGACATTTTACAGGGCCTCTTAGAACGGGCTGCAAAGTTCCACTTACTTTACAGTGAATGGAATCTATATTTTTAACAATTTAATACAGAGGCAAGGCTGAGCTGCGCACCACTTTGGATACCAAACCAATATAACTTTGCAGCATAGCAGGCAAAAAGTAAAATGGGAACCATAAATTAAAAAAATGGCAGAAAGTAAAACGGAAACCATTAATCCGAAAAAAACTATATAAATATTTAACTAATTCGAGAGTTGAAAAATGGTCAAAAGGAATATAATATACATACATATCAGGTTAGAGCTATATGAATTAACGAAGTGAGAAAACGGGATCAAACGGTGTTCCCTTACCGCGTTACCTCCCGGACAATTCGGAATGAACCTGAATTGGTAAGGAATCTGAAAGTTGTTAATGTTCAATACAAAAAGCAAGATAAATTTCTTGCAGAATTTTAATAAAAGTTGTTAACGATAAAAGTGGTTTAATTCCATAATACTAGACACCTGCTCTCGCAAGTGTAAAAATCCACTTACCAAACTGAGAATCGATAGTGTTTTTTTCGGATCATTTCCTCTTTCGTAACTCAAGAGCGCTATTTGTCTAACTTTTAGCAAATGGACTTAAACTGAACTCATAAAGAGCGCAAATAACTAATTTCTTTCATAAAACATTAATATATATGATGCACTTCTATGGCTATTAGAGCATTTCAAGACTTTTTGTAGTAGATAAGCTCAGCTATACATTGCATCAAAAAATATTGTGAGTAAATCAAGACCTGCTGTGTCGAGACATGAATAGATTTCTAGATGCAATATGAGCTGTTGCTTATCTGGTATGAGACACAAGTGAAAAAAGAGAACACAACACACGTTTGAAGAATTTTGCAAGCTTGCAAACAAATTTTTCTCTGATTTATTATTATTATTATTATTATTATTAAGACTTCGCGACAAAGTCGCAGGGCGTTAACCCAAAAACTATGAAAACTAAGGATGAGTTTCCCGGCAGTTTGCACAGTCCCAAGCGAAAATCCAAGTACATGGTTTGTCTGTATCGAAGTTTGCTTCAAACCAGCTCCAGAAAAAGGCAACGAGTCTTTTCTTGAGGCCCACGTCGTCAAGAAGGTTGACGTAGGATTGGAGTTTGTTAAATAATCGCGGAGTCCTGTACCAAAAATTACCACGGCCTGTCTCGAGCTTTAGATCTGGTAGTTCGAATATCTGCTTTTCTGAATTTCTTGTTGAATATTTTTGAATATAGGGAGTCAGGTGGTTGTTAAGTGACACATTGTATTTTTTGCTGAGAAGCTTGGAGAGCATCAAGAGGTCACTGATCTGGAAATACATCGATAAAGGAAGAATATTGAGAGCAGAGAGACGTTGCTTGTAGTTCAACTCAGGGTATCCTAAGATCCAGTCAGACGCTCTTCGTTGCACCTGTTCGAGGCTTTTCATGTCGGCTTTTGATAGACTCCAGACGCAACAGCCATAGGAAAGAATGGGAAGTACCATTGACTTGTACATGTTCAATCTTTGGTGCCAATGGAGACGTCTAGCAGAACTTCTCTTCAACATTGAGAGCACTCGATTGGATTTGCCGCAGATATAGGTGATATGCTCGCTCCACTTCAAGCTGGTCGAGATGATAATTCCGAGGTCTTTTTCGGACGAGACAGTTTTCAGTTCTTCGTTATACAAAATCAGAGAGCTGGGCCAGTTTTTCGTAAAGGAGAGGAGATGACACTTATCGACGTTGAAAATCATATCGTTCAAGTCGCACCACGTTTCCAATAGTCGTAAATCTTGTTGGAGAAACGAAGAACAGCCTTTATCTCGAATTGACAATAATTTGGTATCATCAGCGAATAAGAAGGGTAAAGACAACAAGCCATCGGTTATGTCCATCACGTAGATCAGGAACAAAAGGGGACCAAGGATGGATCCTTGGGGAACGCCACTAGTGACTAACAGGAAACCGGATGTTGCTTCGCCAATCTGAACATATTGCTTCCGACCAGATAGATAACTCTTAATTATTTTCAGCAGATTTCCTCCGCCTAGATGCTGAAGCTTCTGGAGAAGAATGCTGTGATTGATTTTGTCAAAGGCTTTTGAGAAGTCTAAGTACACTGTTTCGACAAAATTGCCAGGGTTCAACACGCCTTTATAAATGTTGTCAAGGAAGATCAAGAGTTGTAATACAGGCGATTTCCGCTTCTGGAAGACAAATTGACATGAAGGAAAGCGATCGTACACAAACTCAAATAACGCATCAAATATGCATTTCTCGAACACTTTAGAACAGATGTTCAACAACGTAATAGGTCGATAGTTGGTAACGTCTGCTTTTGATCCTTTTTTGAAAAGAGGGCTTATCTTCCCAACTTTCCACTGGTCTGGAAATACGCAAGTTTGTTGTATTTTATAGAAGAGTTTTGATAGAGACAGTGAAAGTTCGGGTACTTCTTTGAAAAGAACAGGCGGAAGTTGGTCGGGGCCACGTGACTTCGTAACATCCAGTACCACAAGAGTTTGGCTGATTTTGAGCGGGGAAATGTCGTAGTCGGTCAGAACAGGATTACTAGGAGCTTCAGGGCGCGTTGACGCCGGTGAAAACACGGAGTTGAAATACTTGTTGAACATTTCGCATTGGTGTGTTGCGCTTTCAGCAGTCTGGTTGCCCCAGTGAATCTTAGCTGGAATTAGCGAGCTACTGTTCAGGGACTTGAAGTAATCAAAAAGGTGCTTGGTGCTCCTGCCTTCAGCAAGTTTGGATTCGTAATCGGCTTTGTCAGTTTCAAGAGCATTTGACAGAACTGCTTCCGAGTACTGTATTTTCTGAAATATGGTAGCGGATGGTTTGACCGCGCCTTTCTTCTTCAAAATTTTCAGTTTCTTCATCAGACGGGACGATTCTGGTGAAACCCAGGGAGGCAACGTAATTCGGTGCGAAGTCTTGAAAGGAATACAGCGCAACATCAGTGCACGCAACCATACATGCCATTCCTCCAGCAACACATTCGGATTCGACCAGCACTTTCCAACGAAAGGAAACTCGGATATCAAGGCGGAGAGACTAGCATAGTCGGCATGTGCAAAGCTGAAGCGCTGCATAGGTGTTGAAACGGGTTCTTTCTCTGACACGGAAATTGCTATAGAGATGGGATAATGATCAGAAAATGGATAGGAACCAAGGACAGTATCATCAATGTTCACTGAGATGATGGGGTCTGGAGAGGAGACAGCAACAACATCGAACAACTTTGAAGACGTTGTGTTGAAATCGACTACTTGCAACATGTTGAATCTCTCAAGAAGTCTGACGATATGCGTTTCATAAGCATCGTCAGAACTGAGTGTGACCCAATCAATTCCAGGCAAGTTGGCATCGCCAGTAATGAAGACTAAGTCTAGAGGCAATTTAACTCTCATGAGTTCTGAAAAGATAGATTCCCATTTATCTAAGCTCCATCGATACGAACTATTAGCAGGAGGATTGTAGATGCAAACCAAGGGCAAAGAGAAGCTTGCGAGGGTAACTCGACAAGCTATTACGTCCATATTATCAGTTACATTTAGCTTTAATGGAGAATGCAGAAGAAAGCTGGCTATACCAATGAGAACACCACCATGCTTGGAAACTCCGTTATGTGCCGGTCGTTCACTGCGATATAAGCAAAACTGAGGTAATTGACATTCGGCGTCATTAAAATCGGTCGTTAACCAGGTTTCAGACAGGCAGAGAAAGTGTGGCATGGATAAAATAATAGACTTCGCGAAAGAAGTTCTTCTGTCAATTGAGATAAGACTGCGAACGTTAAAAACCAGAACTTGCAGGGACTGTAGTCAATCTGTTCTGCTGCCAATAGTATTATCATCAAGTTTAACATCACTCAGATCGACTGGGTTGTCGTCAAGGTACAGCTTTAAAGACCGCAATTTTAGACGTGTAGAACTGATTCCACATAACAGCAGCTGCCGACGCTTGTACAGGCACGCATTCTCTTGTTCACGGTCGGCCTTGCTGAGCCCGCGTGAAATAAAGACACGTTTTTCGAAGCTTCTGAGGTGTGTAGATTTGGCGATGATTTTTCGAACATCGTAAACACTTTTCAGAGTCACGAAAAGGGTGCGTGGTCTACCTTTATCTTTATTAAGCTTGCCTAGGCGTATAACATCGCTGATTTGTGGTGTTTCTGACAGGTGATCGAAAACTGCAGAGACAACAGCAAGTTCACAGTCAATTAATTCAGCGGGAGATTTATTGGGAAATTCTTCAATGCCATCAATGCGTAGTTGGAGAGGAACTGCTGACTCGTCCATATGGCGCTTGGGAATACTCGCTGTTGGCGGAGTTGCCAGATTAACAGGTATGCTTTCAACCGACTTAGAGAGTTTCACCACATCAGAGTAAATGGAATGACAATTTTCGTTCATAGTTTTCTCCATTTTAGGAAGGCTGGATGTCAGGTCTGAGATGCCCGAGGAGAGAGATTTGAGATTTTCTGCCATCGCAGCTTCCTTGTTCCAAGAAACTTTCAGTTGGGAAACACTCTCCCTGACCAGGCATTTCAAACTATCTTTTGGCAAACTAGATAACAATCTGTTAATATCGTCGTCGTTCG